TTAAATTGGCCAAATATATGGCCTAGGAGGACAAATTCGTTAAACTTCCCGTGCTCGAATCGGTATCACTAAAGTGTTATGATCATTTCGGCCTATCCCAGCCATCGTCAGACCCTTGGGCTGATACAAATTCAAACACGGAAAGTAGAACGAATGTCTCCCAAAGCTTCACCACTGCAGTGGTTTGCGAGCAGAGGCGCCACCTGCTTTGGCGGCCGTGAACGAAAACGATATAATCACATCGTTTTCTACCTCTGGGCTATGCGAAATCTACCTCTGGCCAATTTATTAGTTTAAGATATTTAGTTTATTTATAATAGTGTATTCTGATCTAAAAAGGCTAAATGTCCATAAAATTCTCACTTTAATTTTCTGGAAAACGTCAATATAGAAGCCAGTTAACCCTATTTGCATAGTCGATGATTCCAGAACTTTCATATATGGATGAGATGAAAAGTTTCGAACATGGTTTATTGCTAGAATAGTCTGGAACGAGAAAACGATATAAATACGAGGTAATTTGGAGTAGGGGGCATTAAGTTAAATGAAGTCAGTCAGTCAGTTACAATTAAGTTAGATGTTAGTCAGTCAGTTACAATTAAGTTAGATAAAGTCAGTCAGTCAGTTACGATTAAGTGAGATGAAGTCAGTCAGTCAGTTACAATTAAGTCATTAAATTAGATTCATCAAGAAAGTTAGTTCAAGACAGTTATAATTATATTAAGTTAAAAGAAAGGATTATCTTAGAAGAATTCATTAAGTCAGATATAGTTGGAGAGTATGAGAGTAAATTAATTCAATATAGATAGTTCAATACAGTGATAGTTAATTATTAGTACAGTTATACAATGACAGTATGGAGTTAATTCATTAAGAAGTTAAGCAGTCAATAGTATAAGAACATAGTATACAGTATATTTGAAAATATATTATATGGACATTACAAGAATTTAAAAAAATTATAATATCTATATGCAATTTCACAAATACAAGGATAACCAAGGCTAATTAAGAAGTTATTTAGTGGTGATTATAACTTTGATTTTGGAAAATTTTAGGCATTCAGTGATAGAAAGGTATCAACTTTTGGTAATATAATTTAATAATTGTAAGAATTTCAAATTTTAGATACGTTGTTTTAAATTTATATTGTTTATATTAGATATATATGTCTGTTTCATAATAGTTATAATAAAGATAATTTAAAAAAGCTACTTTTAAACAAATTCTAGGAGAACCGCGATAAAAACCCTATACTCATATATTTTATTTTAAACACTCATTGCTCATATACAAACAAAACATCATAACAATTTATATATAGTAGTTTTGAGTTTCTTGAACCGTACTATATTTAATATAAAATTAATGTTTCTTGGGTTTAGGTTCAATTAGGATATATTACATGTGGAACTAGATTTTATTTTCCATAGCAATCAATCAACGTTTCGGCAGGAAACCCTTGCCTTTGTCAAGATTCTAAAATGTATATCTATAAGGAGAAACAGATATTGTAAAATATGTATATATATATATATATATATATATATTATATATATATATATATATGTATATATACTATTTTTTTTATTAAAAAAATATATGACTCACCAAAACGTAAAACGTGACACAGACATTAACGAACTGACAAATAAAAGTTGATATCTGATATCTCATTGTTTACTGTCATTATTATATAATTATATTTATATGGGCGTATCATTGGTGTTTTCGAAAAAGGTAAGGTGGAGATATGTTATGACTTTAAGGGCTTCTTATGATGTCATATTATTCTTGTTTAAATCAAATTGAAATATATTTTATTTAGGTTTTGTGTATCTTTTTTGTCATTTATTACGTTGGAGCTTTTTTTTATTTCTATTGATTCGTATATCTTCCTCTTCTTTTTGTTTTGTTCGGTTTTCAAAATTTTGATGTTTTCAAAATCAAATTTATGCTTCTTCCCGCTTTCATGTTTTGTGACCGCAGTGTTGATGTTCTTGTCATATTTGTGAGAACGAATTCTGGATTGAAGCAGTTGACTTGAATGTACCATTCTTCTACCGCTATATCGATGACTGTATCTATGCTATTCCAACAAATAAAACAACCGAAACTTTAGATATTTTTAACAGTTACCATCCACAATTAAATTTCACTATAGAAAATAATATAATATAGAAAATATTAAAATACACTTTCTGAATATCACCTTACATCACATTAACAATACAGTCAAAACCATGTGGTTTACAAAAGAAACATGGTCTTCACGATATCTAGACTACAATTCCCATCATCCATTTTCCCATAAGAAGTCTGTAGTTATAAGTTTCGCTGATAAATCTATAAAACAAACAGATCCAGAATACAGACCAACTGCAATTAAAAAAGCAAAAAATGCCCTTCTAAAGAATGCATATCCCGAACATCTAATCGAAACTATTTTCAAATCAAGACAATAAATTTTATAACAATACAACTATCAACAAACCCAACAGTATCAAAACCACTTATACAACTCTTCCATATATAAAAGGTTTATCCGAACAACTAACAAATCTTTTAGCCAAACATAATATAACAGTGGCCCATAAAGGCAACAACCTCTTATATAGATATTTCACAAAACTAAAAACACAAACTCCAAAACTTAAAAAATCACATGTTGTTTACGAGATACCATGTACTAACTGTAAAGGTGTCTATATCGGTCAAACCAGTCAACCGCTTTAATCCAGAATTCGTTCTCACAAATATGACAAGAACAACGTCACTGCGCTCACAAAACATGAAAGCGGGAAGAAGCATAAATTTGATTTTGAAAACATCAAAAATTTTGAAAACCGAACAAAAAAAAAGAAGAGGGAGATATACGAATCAATAGAAATAAAAAGAAACTCCAACGCAATAAATGACAAAAAAGATACACAAAACCTAAATAAAATATATTTCAATCTGATTTAAACAATAATAATATAACATCATAAAAAGCCCTTAACGTCATAACATATCTCCACCTTACCTTTTTCGAAAACACCAATGATACGCCCATATAAAAATAATTATATACTAATGACAGTAAACAATGAGATATCGGATATCAACTTTTATTTGCCAGTTCGTTAATGTTTAGGTTTTGCTCGGTTTGGTTTAAATAAAGTAGTTGTTACAGATAATGGCCCTCAATTTTCATCAGGTGAATTTTCAGTTTTTACATAATACTGGTATTAAACACTCTACATCACCACCATACCATCCAGCAACAAATGGATTTGCAGAGAATTTTGTTAAGACATTTAAAATGCTGATCTGAAAGGATTGAAGGATGATTACAACTGTAATAATTCTTTACAAACTATAATCAGTAAGTTATTGTCATAAGTTATAAGTTATAAGTTGTTATAAGTTATATTATTGTTATAAGTCATTATAGAAATTCAGTACACTGTACTATTTACAGGTGTATCACCTTCCAATCTTGTATTTAAACCTAAAGTTAAAACCCGATTAGATTTGTTATGGACATTTAGTGAGAATCAGAGTTCTAAATTAATTGATAATAAATTAAATAGTAATAGACGAATTGAAACTTTTCAAGTGGGAGATAAAGTCCTGTGTAGAGATTATCGTCATCCTAATCGTAAAACATGTTCAAAAGCAATAATAGATGAACTTTTAGGTGACTGGATATATTTGTGTAAGTTAACACAGGAAGGTTTAATTTGGAAAAGACATTTGGACCAGATTGTGCGAGATAAAGGATGTGATTCTAACTACGATAGTCTTAATAAAACCATTGTAACTGATATAACTAATAATAATAATACAATTAGTAATAGTGTTGGACTCCTCTCACCTGTAAGAGAAGGGGAAGTGTTAAATTCACTCATTCAATTAACAGATTCTCTCTGTTTCTGTTAGTTTCATTTTCCTAAATTATTTTATTAATAATTGATGGATTCGACCGTTACTTGATGGAAATTCATGTTATGTAACAATAAAACACTGAAAACTTTGTTTTCAAACTTCCACAAAATTTATTTTAAATCTTATCACTACAGCTGATCTATTTTTGACTTGGGTTTACAAATTTATAGTCTCTAATGAAATAGGTTGAGGAGGGGAGAACTGTTTGTCTCAAGTTGGTCATTCAGAATTATATCTGTGTTTTTTAATTTGTTGATTTCCATAGATTCTAACAAAGATAGCTTAAGGCCTTTATTTTGAATGTGAAGAATTTTAAATTTTTCATTAAAAGAATGATTATGATCTAGAAGGTGAAGTGCGTATGTCGAATCTGTTTTTCTATTCTTGAAAGCCCTTTTATGTTCTGCTATTCGTTTATCAAAGTTTCTACCAGTTTGACCGATTTAAGTTTTTGGGCAGTCGCCACATTGAAGTTCGCACACTTAAATAGTGGTGTGTACAAAAGATAGATGACATTTACTTGTTCCAAAATGGACAAGGGTGTTTTTGTTTTAGAATACAAATTTCTGACAGTCTTGGCATTCTTAACTGCAATTTTAACAGATACATTATTATGTTTGTAAAGTTTAATAAGTTTTTCCGTAACTTGAGAGAAATAAGGTAAAGAGGAGTAATGGAGGAGTAAGAGGAGATAAACGCGAATTATAAATGTTCTTTTGGAAAACACTTTTTCAAAAACACTAACACTCAAAATAAACATTTATTCGCACTAGCAAATATTAAAGTAACAACTCAAAATATATTATTTATATAACAGATATATAACAAGATTATTTATAACAAATATAACAGATTATTGTAACATTAACGTCAGACTTCGAATACAAAAATATATGCCAGACTAAAAAAGGAGGTTTTACAATGCTTTATTTATAATAATTCAACTTGCTAAATTTGTTGCTGATGCATCAGCACCGAATATTCGGTGCTGATGCGGTAACTTCTTATTATATTCGCGTCGTCGAATATACTGGAATCTAGCGTTCATTGGACCATAACTACTCCATCCCCTAAAGAAGTTTTGCGAGAGATGAACAAAACTTTTGCATTGGCTTCTTCTGGAGTTTAGCTAGAATTTTGTACCTGTAACAAAGATAAGCCAGATAATTTTAATAAAGATATACAAAGGAGTTATCCAAAATTGGTTACGTCTATGTTTCCAGAATTTTGGGTTAGTTGTCTCCAGTCTCCTATTAGATTTATTTGGCTCAGAATATTCCTTGCTTAAATTTATTAGTTAATGTCAAAAATGAATTTATTGAGATTTTTCTTGATATTATATTTCTTGGTTTTATATTAGTAATGTATATCTTTGCTTATTCGAGTTTGAGGAGAATTATTCCTGTGTTGTCTTTCAGGTACTTGGTCTCAATTCCTTCCCGATCGTTAGGATAATTTTGTGGGAAATGTTCAGAATAAGTTTTTGACTTAGGTTGATGTTTTATATGTTTCTTACGAACTGTGGCTTTTGATGTATTAACAGTGACTTCGTTATTTTCTTTTATATATTTTCGAGAATATCGCGGAACTAATTTGTTTCTGGTCACTGTTTTTGGGGTATAAATCTTTGTGCTTGGTTTACACATAATGCGGACTTGTCTCGATTTGTTTCGTTTTTCGATTACTTTTTCTTTCTTTTCTTGTATATGCCGGTTAATTTCCCTGTATAGTTCTTTAGTTATCTTTCTATGATTTTTTACATAATTGTTTAGTATTATTTTCTCTATATCAAAGTCAAATGGATCTTTTGCATCGATATGTCCGTTTAGGATATATAGCTTGTAACTTAGGTGCTGAATGTATAGAAATAATATACCCAATTATAGCGTATAGCATTTGTTTTTTTCCTATACTTTGTTATAACTTTGCTTTAGTGTTTCTTAGGATCCGAATATGTTTAATTAGTGTAGCATGAAATTTCTCAATCATCCCGTTAGATTGCGGATTCTCTAGCGTTGTATAGTGAACTGAGATTTTATGTGAGTCAATAAATTCTTGTATTACCCCATTTTTGAATTCTGTACCATTATCGGCTACTTTAATTGTTGGGAGTACATGGTGTGTTACAAAAATTAATAGAGCGTTAAGTACATTGATTGCATTTCCTTCATCTATTGAGTAGGCTTGTCCATATTTCGAAAATGCGTCTATTATAGTTAGAAACTGCTGCCCATTGGCTCGAAATAAATCGATGTGAATTATTTCTAGTGATTTAGTAGGAGTTGGTGTAACCATAAATTTAGGCCTGGGAGGTAGTATGTCATATTTATTGTCTTGGCATATATATTCCATGTCTTTGTTGATATTAGGCCAGTAATATCGTTTTCTTATTTGGTTTTCTGTTTCAGCTATTACTCTATGGTTAATTGTTCCTTCATAACAATTCCTTATAAGTTCCTTATAAGTTCCTTCGGTTTTTCTTCGGAGTTCGACATCTTCCAATAAAAGATTATATTTTACCAGGTCATATGAGTTCTTTTTAAACGTTTTTCTAATAACTTTGCAAACACTTCTTTATCTTCAACTAAAACTGCCTACTTCTTTTTCAGGTTGAGATGCTCCTTGAAGAATTTTATAGTATCGGCGTGTAACTGGTCTTTCGACAGTTGAATATGATAGCGCTTTTTATTAGGAAAAGTTTGGGCAATTGCTGGAGGTCGTGGACTGAAGTGGACGGTTTTGATAATAATTTGGTCATTGTAACAGTTAAGCTGCTTTTCTGGAATAGGTATGCCAAGAATTAGATTTTCTGCTGCTATATGTCTTGTTTCATTTTCGTCTTCGTCTATGTTTTGATCTTCTGGTTCAGCCATATCGTCTAAGATATTTTCTGGAATTAATGGATTTGCTTTTTCCATTACAATCCGTTAACTATTCGATCTTCATCTGGACTATTATATGTTGACCATCCATCATCTTCCATGCTGCCTAAATCATCAAAAACTTCCTTAATTTGTGAGTCAATGTCCTTAATTTCTTTTGTATTTATTTCAATTCGGGACAATGCATCTGCGTTAGTGTTGACTTTATCTTTTTGTCAATTAGCTCGTAGTCAAATTCTTCTAGTTTTAGTCTTCAAAGTACTAATTTGGAGTTTGGTTCTTTTAAGGAACATAGGTGTTAGTGATCGGGCGGTGATCTAAAAGTATTTTAAATGTCCTGTTAAATAAGTAGGGTCGGAAATACTTAGCTGCCCACACTATTGCTAATATTTCCTTTTCTATTCTTGAGTAGTTAGTTTCTGTTTAATTTAATGTTCTGGAAGCGAAAGCAATCAGTTTATCACTGCCAACTGATCCTTGGAAGAGTACTGCTCCAATAGCATAATTTCTGGCATCTGTTTTGGATGAGTTTGGTTTTATTCCTTCATTTATGACTACATGTCCTACAAAATTGACTTCCTTTTTTAAGAACTCACATTTATCGGCTTGCATACCCTAATTTAATCGATCTAACATGATCGAGCATGTTTTTATTGACTCTAGACATCCTTCAGATGTAATAAACGTATGCAGCAGAAGAGGGGTAAATGCAGACTATGTGAGAGCGCCCACCAAAGTGGCGTGGCACGTAGCAAGTGGCAAGTAGCACGCGTCTAGCATGTTTTTTAAAATGTAACCAATGAAAACGAATGATTCAGCGTACACCAAAATGACAGTGATGTCATTCATTCTCATCATTCGTTTTCATTGGTTACATTTTAAGAAACATGCTAGACGCGTGCTACTTGCTACGTGCTACTTGCCACGCCACTTTGGTGGGCGCTCGCCCTCAGATCACTACCTGGTGGAAAGTAGAATAAGAGCCAGAATCTAAAACGTTTAAAAAAGTAAAGGGATCCAAAATTGAAAAATATGAAATAAAAAACTTAGCAGACAACAGCAAAAGAGCAATATACAAAGAATATATAAAAGGAAGGCTAGAAAACAGACAAAAACACAAGGATATAAACAGAGAATGGGAAGCGTGTAAAAACATCATACAAGACGCGGCCAAAGAGACCCTAGGTCTACAAAAAAGCCCAAATCAACTGAAGGACATTTGTTCAATGAAGAGTGTCGTAACATAAGAGAAGAAAAATAATTCATATCAACAACTACAACAACGATATAGAACATCAAAGGCAGAGGAGAAATATAGAATGCTAAGGGGGGAGGGGAAAAATAACACATAAAAAAAGAACTCCAAGAAATGGAAGAACTAAATAAACCATTAGAAACCAGACAATTGTACCAAAAACTTATCAAAAGTAGACAAGAATTTAAACCAAGAACAATGATGTATAGAGACAAAGGAGATATTGTAACTCAACAGAGTGAAATACTACAAAGATGGACAGAATTAAAAAAAAAAAAAAAAAAAAAAAAGAGGTTAATCTTTGTAAATGGGTATATTTATTTAAAAAACCCTTAAAAGGGCCACATCAAGAGAACAAACGTTTTCGGACTACACAGTCCATCATCAGGTTATTAAAATCGAAAATGCTAGGTCATAATGCCTGAGCCACCAAAATATTAGGGTAAAAACCCTTTAAATTACATTTAGTTATGAAATGTTGTACATTGTGTTATAAAATAACTGTGATGTTGTATATTAAATTAAATTTGACCAAAGGTAACACATGGCTCAAATGGGTTCCAGAGCCGGGTGAGAGGCAACCTCTGCACTCGGAGAACAACGTGGAACTCCGTCCAACTTGTTCTCCGAGTGCAGAGGTTGTCTCTCACCCGGCTCTGGAACCCATTTGAGCCATGTGTTACCTTTGGTCAAATTTAATTTAATATACAACATTACAGTTATTTTATAACACAATGTACAACATTTCATAACTAAATGTAATTTAAAGGGTTTTTACCCTAATATTTTGGTGGCTCAGGCATTATGACCTAGCATTTTCGATTTTAATAACCTGATGATGGACTGTGTAGTCCGAAAACGTTTGTTCTATTGATGTGGCCCTTTTAAGGGTTTTTTAAATAAATATACCCATTTACAAAGATTACCCTCTATTTGTTTTACGTGGTATACAGCCAGCTACAGGAATTTTTCCTTGTGGATTTTATGGACAGAATTCTTTAAAGAAAAGTTTGTAAAAAACGAAGATCCACTATAGGATGGAATTATACTGGATCAAACAGATACCAGAGACACAACCCCCTCTTCAGTAGCTGAAATGCAAGAAGCAGTTATCAGACTGAAAAACAACAAGTCACCTGGATTAGACAATATTAGAGTATAAATAATAAAGGAAGGTGGATATTTCCTATTGAATGTGATACACAAACGAATAGCGAACATATGGAAAAATAAACTACTGCCACAAGACTGGAATACCGGAGTAATTATCCCACTACATAAAAAGGGAGATCAGCTTCAATGTGAAAACTACTAAGCAATAACGCTACTGACTGTGGCATATAAAATACTATCAAATATTGTGTATGACCGATTGAGACCATATGCGGAACAAATAGTTGGGGAATATCAATGTGGTTTCCGCAGGCAGAAGTCCACAATAGATCAGATCTTCGTCTTGCGGCAAATCTTGAAAAAGACTAGTGAATTTAATATAGACACACATCATGTTTTCATTGACTTTGAGAGTGCCTATGATAGCATCCATCGAGAATTTCTGATCCATGCACTGAAAGAGTTTAATACACCAACTCAACTCATTGATATTGTGAAACACTTAAAGTATATAGCAAAATTCGAATTCAAAACGAACTAACAGATACAATCCACGTGAGAACGGGCCTACGACAGGGAGAAGCCCTATCCTGTATTCTATTCAACATCACATTAGAGAAAATAATTAGGGAGTCAAAAGTTAACACTTCTTCTTCTTCTACGGCACTACAGCCCAAAATGAGCCTTGGCCTCCTTTATTTTTTGCCTCCACCCTTGTCTGTCTGTGGCTGCTCTTCCCCATACACGGACTCCTAAAAATGCTTGTGCGTCGCTGCTTACTGTGTCCTCCCAGCGCTTTCTTGGCTTTCCAACTGGTCTCTTTCCCTGCATTCTGGCGTTTAGTGCTCGTTTTGGTATCCTATCCTCTCCCATTCGTATCACATGTCCGGCCC